TCGACTATTCCCGCTATGTTATCTTCTAACCATGATGGGTAGAAGTACACATGACCTGCATGATATCGATCTAGCTCGATCTTATCCTTTTCCACGATAATATTCAAATGCCATATGTGCTGGGCCTCACATTTGTATGGAATGGCCTCACCCTGAAAATCGGCTCTGTAATGACTCATTTTGGAGACTCGTGGTATGACTTGTTCTCTACCAACTTGCCTCATGACCCTGATAGGAACATAGGGATGTATTCCCCTCAATCCAATCAACACCGAATACGCAACGTCCCTGGATCTGATGATGAATTCATTAGTAGGGAACCACTCGAACATCTAGTGAACCTGGTCCTCGGTTAAATTGCTGAAAAACTGTGCCCATTCTGTAGCATTCTCTGGCTGTCAAATCTATCTGGGATAAAGGTCATTCTTTTAGGATGGTGGAAAGCTATGTGATCGTTCCATGGTCTCCGTGGAAACTCTTGGCTGTATTGACCCCTCTGAAGATGTTCTAACAACCAAATCTACAGTAGCAAGTTACAACCCTCAAAATGTTTGGACCCTTTCTTGCAACGATCCAAAGCCCGGTATATGTCTTCTACAATCATCGGAACAATAGTATAGGTTTGTCCCTCAATTCCCTCTAATAAAACTTTGGTTACCATGGCCAACCTGGTGTGAATTCTGTCCCCTTGGCTTGGAAACACTTCCATACCCAGAAAGCAAACGATGAATACAAAAACCCTACGATGAGTCCAGCCCAGGGAAGTGATAGAGAATTCATCATGAAAGATATGGTAAGATTTGCCGTGTCGATATCATTCATAGAGGAAGTCGAAGGGTATATAGGACTTCTTCAGGAACTTCAAGTCATCATTCTTTCTCAAGACCCATCATTTTCAGAAACCCCCCAGTTGTGCGGTTTTCCGATACTAGTAAATCGGGACTATCCCATGGTAATCCAGCGAATCCTCCTATTTCTTCCAAAAGAGGAGTCATTTCTATATTGCCAAAATGGAATACAACTCTTTCTCTGTCCCAGAACATAGTAGCGGCCTCGATCAGCATGTTGTTTTGTTGGATGTCCAATAAGGAAGGTAAGTTTCCAAGAACCCTTTTCACGTGATTTTTGTCGCTTGGTGAAAGGTTTTCCCACCAATTTAACAATAACGGTGGTGTACTTCGGACCATGCCAACCTGGGGACTTCGTGCCTCATTTTCTGCAAAAATAAACAGAGTTAGACCCTCGCCCCCTTCGGATTCGACTATTTACACATTAACGATTAGCATGCCGGCATTTATCTCTCCAAATAATGCATATATCGTGGTTGTGCCCGTTGGGATTATGGAAATCCCGGTGGACTTTGGACAAGGTTTTCTTAGAGGGTTATTATGCGGACAACATATTAACCCAGTCTAGGTTTGAGAATACTCTTCCTTAATACAAAATGGTGATATGCAGATAACGTGCATATCCATAATGCTTTGTATAGCCTTGTGAGGCCATACGTTGGTTTTAATTGCTTGCAAGTTTGGATAGTGTCCATTTTATAGGGGAAACTCAGCCGGGAATTTCCATTGGAATCCACGATGAGTTAGACTCCCCATAAACCCATACATTCGGGGACGAATGTTCCTAAGGGGGAGGGTGTTACAACCCATATTCACGTACATCAGTTCACACCGTAAGTTAGTTGACATAAATCTGAGAAGTTAGATTATATTAGAGATGATAAGAAGTTAATCCTATTGGTCTTAAATGATACAAGGGTGTATAAGAGTGGTTAACAAGTATTAGAAGCTTAACGAATCAAGGATGTTGTAACCCGAATTTTCAGGTAAAACTAGAGGTACACAATATTCCCAAGAGGTCATTTTTTAAGGTATTTGAATCATATAATATCCGTATAAGTGTTGAAGTCAAACGAGTTATGAAACAAAAGTAGACAAAAGTTGTCGCAACTTACGTTCATAATTTTGCTTAAACTTTAGGTCAAAGGTTAATAAGCTTTTCTCCCAAATTACTTGGGATTACGGGGTTATCTACCCACCAAATTGAATATCTATGAGTCTAGTTTCCAACACATTAAACCATTCATCAATACAATCTCGGAATAGAGAGATATCCGTATTTTCGCGGTACTGCGCCAAGCAGCTCTCTATGGGGCCCACATAGGCGGTTTAAGACATATGGATATATATAAGATGCCTCAACCCCGTTTTAAGTCATTATTTTTTTAGTATATTCAGACCTTAGAATCCTAAAAACACTCTCTCAAGGTTCTCTCATGATCCAAGACCCAAACAAAAGGCAAACAACACAAATCAAGTGTCGGAAATCCTGTGGCGCTAATAAGTTTCTTGTTCTGCTTGTCGTTGCTGATTTTTGTCGTATTCCAGCTCGTGTGGGAGGTTTTTTAATTGGTTTATGTTCTATAAATACTCCCTCAAGTTTTTAATATCAACCCTAGGTGATTTCAAGTCTTCTAAAGTGACTCTAGTGCCGAAAAACCCTAATTGATTGTTAGTTTCGCTTTGTTGTTCTTGTGGCAATATTGGAGGGATATTTCGTGGAAAATTAAGGTAAAATTGGAGTTGTTCTTTCTGCTTAAAGGTAATGAACCTCTTACTCTACATTTATTTAAGACTATCCAAGTTGCGGTTAAGTCATTGAAGCTAGAACTTGTGAAATACATATCGAAAGGCTTGGTAGTAATGTTATTGGTTGGTGGACTATTTTCGGAGGCTCAATATGATTATTATTGATATTTTTTGGGCTGTTTGGTGATTGTTTTGACTTGTGGTAAGTCATATAAATAAGGGAGGTGCTGTCCGTTTCATCGTAAAATAGGTTGCGGTCGATACATAATAGTTACGACGCTTAAACGATAACGATAATGTCATTTATCTTATTGTAGACTAAAGAGTCATGACATTTGCATAGCTTGAGGTTGGGCAGTATATACAAGGTATGTGAGGCTATCCCTTTCCTTCTTTTGCACGACTCTGGTTGTACATAATGTAATGAACGAGCTTCCAAAGATACTCCACTCTTACAAGCTAGCAGTACCTACATTATTCCTCTTCTTATGGAACGATTAATGTTGATATTTCTTCTCTTATTCTTACGTTATCAATGTTGTTGGTACTTCCTGATTCATATAAGATTCATGATGGAGAGTTAGTCCTAATAATCTGTACGGAGGATACCGACCTTACGTCACTCTTAAAGGTTCAGAACATGATTCAAATGAGTCGAACATGCATTATATATATGTATCTATTTTACTCTACCGAGTTGTGCTATAGTCGGCCGGGTACGACACTTATTCTGCAACCACAGATCAGTTGGATTTTTACCGAGCTCCACGTGGCCGGGTACAATTCTACTGAGCCTTATGATGACCGGGTATATTTTTACGGAGCCTATTATGGCCGGGTACGATATGATGATGATGCCCACAGAGGTGTATGTTTTAAAAGTTTATGTGTATATGTGTGTGTGTATATATATATATATATATATATATATATATATATATATATATATATATATATTTCATGTCAATAGCCCTCAGTGGTACCCAGATGTTATAGGTTGTATATTCTCTATCCTTATTTACATTGCTGTTCTTACTTATGCATTCCTGCCTTACATACTCAGTACTTTATTCGTACTGACGTATTTTTTATTTGTGGATGCTGCATGTCGTGCTGCAGGTCCTGATAGACAGGTAGACGCAGCTCCCCCACCATAGTAGGTTGCCCAATTCAACGGTTATTGGCGAGATCCCTTCTCCGGACTTGCTGTGGTCTTGGTATGCATTTTTGGTATAGACATTATGGGTATATCGGGGCCCAGTTCCGGCAATGTTGCAGCACTTATGTTCCTTTAGAGGCTCATAGATAGGTGTCGATTCATGTATAGTTTAGTATGCCTTGTCGGCTGATTTTTGTCGATAGTCTTTCATGGCATCGTGGTGGCTCGTACCTTATATATAGTTTCTTGATAGTCTTGTCATCCCATGTTATGTATGTTCATGCTATTTTCTTTCATTGTTGGTTGTTCATGATCCATGTATACCATTTATATTGATCTTGTCGGCCCTTAAAGATAATAGGAAGGTTAGATAAAATGTACATTAGTGCTCGGCACGTATGGGCCGGGTGCTAGTCACGACCCTCCAGTTTGAGTCGTGACAATTCATTCACTATAAAAGCCTAGTTTTCTTTAAAACCAATTTTCTAGTTATATTTTACCTCTCTCTATATAGCTTTTTACCTATAAGCAACAACCATATTTATACCAGAACACTCTTTGTAAAATTACCTCTCTATAACAGCATATAGAATCTTTAAGGTTACTAATAATAATTCTAATAATATGCACACAATCTTTTTCATTTTACAAAGTTTCTATGTTGCATAAGACATAAGATTTGAATATTTGCACATGATATCTTTTTCAATGGACAAATGCCAAAAAATATTTAGATAGAAGATTTAACTGTTAAGCTCTTAGATTTTAAGGGAAAACGCTATTGCATTGCTTTTTGCTAAAAATTGGATATGAATATTTGCCAATTCAAGCGTTATACCGCAAGTAAGAGAATGAAATCTACGAAACAAGCTACGATTACAAAATTCTTTCATTAATCTTGAAAGAATTTATTTTTCTAAATAGAATTTAGAATGAAATCTACGAAACAAGCTACAATTACGAAGTTCTTCCATTAATCTTGAAAGAATTCTTTTTCTATATAGCTTTAAAATATGTGCATTAGAGTTTAAATCTTTATAAATTTATTAATAATATATTAGCTTTCTTCAATATTTAACTAGTGAAATATGCATATCTTTTGAGATTTTAAATTTGAATAATTTTTTATCTTTTATATGTAATATTAGAAAACAAAAAATAACTAATTTTTGGATAATTTGATCTATAGGGGCCAAAAAATATTTAAACTCAAATACTGTTAAATAGGTGTAAAACAAACATTCATTATAAAAGCAAAAACATATCGGAACAAGAGTTTTATCTCTAAAGAGAATGGTTCTGGGTAACTTTATAATTTTGGAAATAATAAGGGGAGTTGACGATTGTATATAATAGCTCGGAGGAGAAGTCTATAATTTTTGCTTTTCACGGCGCGACGGAGGACGGCGGAGATGAGGCCAAGGCTTGTCGCCGGCGAGTTCTTCACGGGTCGGATTCGGTAAAATTTGGAGCTCAATCAACTCAAGATTAGAGAATGGAGTCAGAGGTCAGTCATGCTAGCTGATTTGGTGTTAAGATGATATAGTTTAGTATTGTGAAGAGTTTCTGGAATTTGTGATTCATTTCAGACCGGGAATGACTTGCGAGAAAAGGCTGCTGAAGAGGTTATGCTGTTTTGACTATATATTTACTTCCTTTGTCTTATTACTGTAAATTGTTGTTTTATATAGGGTCTTTCTATAATTTTGGAAACAGGTAAAAGGAGGGGAGTTGACCTCAACATATTATAATCTTGGGCTCAGCGGTGGTGTTTACAATCTTCACCCTTTCCTACCTTGATATCTCCACGTTAAAAACATTATCAGATCAGCGCTGTTACATATGATAACACTTTTCTGTTGCATAACAACGAGTTTAATAATACGATACAGTAAAATGTTACGTAACATTCAAAACAAATATTATATTAAAGTAATTAACAATATATGCGATACAGTACAATAGGCTGATGTTAAGATATTGTATTAAATATTGGCTGATAGCCTTGCCCCGGGGGAACCTTTTTATTGTCTTTTGAAACAGAAAAGGGGAGTTGACCTTAATATTTACATTGTTGGAGGAGGTATCTATAATTTTCAGCTTAATATATTACTACAATTTTCCGACAACTCTCTCTCAATCTCTTTCATTTGTCACAACTCTGTAGTCGTCTCTCTCTCTCTCATCTTAATATATACTGTAATGAATAGCAAGGTTACTCAGTCACAGAAGGCCGATATGGAGGCTATTCTTGGGCCTGACTCAGAGCCATTTGAAACATTTATTTCTGATCACATAGACAGCTCCGGGGAAAATGATTCGGAGGCTAAGTCCATATTTAACATGATGAGGCAGAAGGATCCAGAATCCCTTGCACTTAAGCTTGTTGACTATCTTGGCCCTTCCCACGACTTTTATACCCGTCAAGAATGTGCTCTCCTCTTAAAGAATTTGCTTAAAGATGATGACTTATGCACTTGGCACAAACTAAGTGTCTCCACTCAATCAAGCATCAAGTGTATGATCCTTGATCGCATGAACCAAGAAGAATCAGAATCTATCATCGGAGAGCTTCGTTACACTGTTTATACGCTGGCTGCTTCATCTCTTCCAGATAACAACTGGCCTGAGTTATTGCGCTTCTTGTACCAATGCGTCACTAATTCTAGTTCAAACAACTTTTTAAAAAAGTCGGTTTTCTTAATATTTGCGCAACTAGCTGAGCATAGAGGCGAAACAATTGTCCCTTGGGCTAAAGATCTGCACTTAGTATTCCTAAATACACTGAATGATGATGCCCTTGATCTCAATGTGAGGATTGCAGCCACAAAAGCAGTGATCAACCTCATTCAATGCGTATCGAGTTCAAATGAAAAGGAGCGATTTCAAGATCTATTGCCAGGTGTGCTGAGGACATTGGCTGACACATTGAGCAACGGTGGGGACGAGGATGCAGCATGCTACGTGCTGGCATTTTTAAAAGACTTGGCGAAGAATGAGCCTAGGTTCTTGAGGCGACAACTAGTGGTTGTTGTGGGTTCAATATTGGATATAGCAGAGGATGAGAAATTGCAAGAGGGGACGAGGCATGGGGCTGTTGAATTTTTGGTAACTTTGGTTGAGGCAAGCTGGGAGAAGACACCTGGTATGATGAAGAGGTTGCTCTCGTTTATTAGCAGATGTTTAACGGTGTTAGTGAATTTATTAGCCGATATGAAGGATGAACCTGATTGGCATAGTGCCGAGACCAAGTATGATAGTACAGGGGCTACAAGTAACCACGGCTTTAGTGTGCACTTCTTAAAACGGTTTTCTCGTGCCTTAGGAGGTAAGTCTTTTGTTCATATTGCTAAAGAGCAGCTGTCTGCTTACTGGGATGCCCCAGAGTGGGAGAAGCGCCATGCAGCTCCCTTTGCACTTGCTCAGATTGCTAAAGGTTGCTCAAAGCAGGTATACCATCTGTCTTAGTATATTAGTTGTATATTTGTTGTGGCTATATGGTTCGATTATAACGGATATAATATCAACTCGTAGCATTTAAGAGGTGCTTTTTCCTGGCAAGCTGCTTAAATGTATAAGCTATTCCCCCCTATACTCTGTCAGAATGCTCTACACTGTTTCATTATTTAAAGTTATCTTTTTGAATTTTTTTCTTAGTCAATTACGTACCTCGGAATCATGGCTCTTTTTGCTATTGTAGGTGTTGATCAAGGATATGGAGCAACTGGTGAAAAAGGTTTTAAATTGTCTCCGAGATCCTCATCCTCGAGTCAGATGGGCTGCTTGCTGCGCAATTGACATGTTATCGACGGTCTACCATTCAGATTTTCAAGAACAATACCATAACCAAGTAGTTCCTGCATTAGCTGCAACTATGGACCATGTTCATCCACGAGTGCAGGTTTGTCCTATGTGTGATATGTACTATCCAGGGATGCTGCAAGTTTCCCCTAGAACAATTGCCAGCTAAAAGAAGATTAGATTATCATTGTTACGTGAAACAACCAACAAATTTTTTTCTTACTGCACCTCTACAAGGTGGTCTTATGTACCATACAGTTGAAGTTCTTTAACCTTGCCTAGGTCTTTAATTTTTAAAATTGTGTTTTTATCCATAAAGAGAATAATTGAGTACTAATATGCATTTTATATTCTAGTATGTCTGATTCCTAAGAATCTTGGGCTTTAAACTAAATATTCAAAGCGGTGGGAGTTGGCTCTTTATCGATCCACTCATCTTACTGCATTCTGCTTGATTTCTTGATGTAATTTTGAGATTACTCTAAGAAGTCTTTCCGCTATATATGGCTTCATTTCCTTAGTCGCAACACTTGTTCCCAATTGGTCCTCAACAATCACTTTTGCTTTTCTGCAACATGACGCAAATTAAGGATGTATTGTGTAACGTCCCTTCTAGAATTTCGTACTACAAACGTTTATTCGCTTTGTAGTGTGTTTATGGAAAATATACTTTGTGACTTTATTTTATTTGCAATAAGAAGTTAAGAACCCTCTTCTGACTTACAAGAACGTTGAATGATTGCAATAAACAATGATATTATAAAGGAAGTAATTATTACTAAATGTCAGGGAAGGTATCTCAAGTGTACCCGTAAATAAAATTTGGAAAAGAACATAAGCGGATAAGCCTAAAGATTTGGTAGATGTGAATCCATTCAGTTGCTCATGCCAACTAATTTGGTCCTTCTACTTTTTTGGCATTTTTATAGGCATCTGCTGCTGGAGCTCTCTCCTTCTTCTGTGTGTGCAACAAGCCAGAAATTTTGATACCTTATCTAGATGGAATAGTTAACAAACTGCTTGTACTTGTACAGGTGTGCAAATATAGAGGCCACCAAATTACAGAGGTATGTAATTTCTGACAAGTGCAAGAGACTAATGATGTTTTTTTCGGCTTTTTGTTGCTTGAAATGCAGAATGGCAAACAAATGGTCCAACAAGAAGCATTATATGCATTGTCTCGTATAACTGAATCAGTTAAGGTATTAACTGGTGGAATTATGGTTGACTCAGTTCTGTTTCTGCTTATATTATCAATCTTGAAGGATGATATATTACACGTCAACAGGAGCACTTCCGTACCTATTATGACACTGTTATGCCATACTTGAAAACTCTCTTGAGAAACACAGATCTTACATCCGATCTCATTCTTCGTGCCAGAGCAATAGAGTGCATAAGCTGTGTTGGGTCTGCTGTTGGCAGGGAGATATTTAGAGAAGACGCAGAGCAGGTCTTCTTCCAACTATGCCTAGTACTGAGCACATATATTGATGCCATTGATTGAACACATATATATTGATGCCATGTTCATAGGATACCGCACACATCTTTTTTAGTTCCTTACTCATGGGACACTGAACACGTATATAGATGCCATTGGTTGGGATTGCTTCGTTCTATGTTTCATTTGTTATGCTTTGTCAGATGGCTTTACCATAGTTAAACCATAATCTAGATTACTCTTGTTTGACTTACTATTTCTTTCAACAATGATGTGTAACATAATGAATGACAGTGATACCTTTCCACGATCCCTTGGCATTCTTTTTCTTGTCTTGGCCAGTGCTGGTGTGAGCCTATTTTCCTTTGGTCATTTCTCAACATAGAGGTTACTTTTTATTTGTTTCCTTTTTGTTGTTGTCATTAAAGGTTATGGAGGTGCTTATGATATCATTACAAGGATTACAAGTGAAGGGGGATGAGCCGCCTACTGCGTACTTGCTTAGGGTATGTGTAAATCACTTGATTTTAAGATCAAATTTCGTTCTAGATTGGCCTCATCTTATTTTCTTGATGTCATTACAGGCATGTGCTGCAATTTGCGATTGCCTAGGACATGATTTTCTTCCTTATATCCGTAAAGTCATGCCCTTTATTATTCAATGTGCTCAACTTGAACCTGCTATAACCATCTCTGTGAAGTGGAACCAAGTTGCATCGTGTTTTATGCTATGCTGCTTCGCTGAGACATTAAAGGAAGACTTCTACCCATGGGTATCCCAGGTTGGCATGAATGATCACCTGCACGTTTTCCTTTTTGTCATGTGCTGTTGAGTGATGTCAAATTAAACAGGTCATATCAATGGCTTAATGCATTAAACAGGTTGTTTCAGTCTTTATTCCACTTCTGAAATTCTATACCCACAATGGTCTCAGGAAATGTGCTGTTAATTGTGAGAATTCTCATGATTTCATATGGTTTTTAATTTTCTAATTTTTCAATTGCTGAAGCAATTTTTTAAATTTTTGCTGTTTAAGCCATGTATATTTTGTTGCGTACTGCTAAACTGGCTGTTGAGAAAGGGATTGCACAAGGTGCAAGTGAGACATATTTCACAAAGTTGTCAGACCATATAATGCAGTCCTTGCTAGAAGCTTTGCATGAGGTTGTTCTTGACCTCAGTAATTATGTTTCTTTTTTTTTTGTTCGGAAATTGTTTAACTTCGGTCTATTTGGATAACAAGAAGTGACACTTGATTTGTTATCTCATGCAGGAGCCTATGACAGATATATCTGCAGTCATGTTGAGTACATTGAACAATTGCCTGCAGGTTTTGTTATGTCGAAGACAATTTCTTTAATATTCTTGATCCACGTTTGCATTTTTTCCTACTGTGGTGGTATGTTTCTTTTGAATTTTTTATGTTCCAACTTGATGACAATGTTGGTCTTTACGTAACCACACAGTAAACAACTCCAATTTCTTCTCCTTCAATAGAGATCTAAACAAACACTTATCCAAACTCATATCAGTTATATTATACCAGAAGCAAAGAAAGCTTAGTACATCTCTTAAAAAGAGGAAGACATGGGAACAAAGAGCGCGCAATGACTTGCATGCTAATGTGTTCAGGGGATCAAGTAAAGTAGGAGGTCGTTATTCAGTTCTTACTAAGTGTGGATTTATACCTACAAAGACATGGTCAAAAATTAATAAAATTCTTGAAAATTGAAACGTGGAATCAAATTTATGACAGATAGGGAAATCACGAAAGTTGTCTTGACTAGGTAAGACTAGTGAGTCTGACAAACAGCTTAGTAACTTTGTATTAGATTGACTCCATTGGGAAACTTCTTTCTAGTAAACCCCCAGTTAATCCAGCTTCTAGCTATTGCTTGAAATGCTCTGTTAGTACTATAAAAGGGAGAAATAGCAAGAGTGGCAGAAAGTTAGAATGGCAAAATAGGATTGTCATTCTTGTCCTTATGTTTCTTCTTTCAGATCAGTCCACTTCTCAATGAAGGTGAGCTTCGTAGAATAGTGACTGAGGTAAGGCATGTCATTACAGAAAGTTCAAACAGAAAACGAAAACTCAAAGAGAGAGCAAAATCAGAAGACTTTGATGCTGAGGAAGATGAATTGCTGAGAAGGGAAAAATGGCAAGAAGATCATATTTTGTGGCAGGTATGTTCCATTCTACGAATAAAGTTCAGATATAAATGACACACTGTTGTACTCTTTATGCAAGCCTCACTTTGATTCTACTTTTACTTATCGAATAACCTGAGCTTTTTTTCTTTATCAGCTTTGTCGAATATTAAAAACATTGATCAAAATGGTGAAGGCAGCATTCTTGCCTTTCTTTGACAAGCTGGCATCAAATCTGATTCCTATGTGGGTGAGTTCAGGACATAATAACCACTTTTATTCTAACACTCTACTTATTTATTCATATCTATATCTTAATTTTTTTTAATTTAAAATTTTAAATTTTTTCTTGCTTCTATGAAGGGCAAAGATAAAACAGCTCAAGAGAGATGTACACCAACTGTTATCTTTGCTAGCCTAGTGAGGGAGTGCCCTGAAGCGGCTCTAAAGTGGGTTTGTGTGTATGAGTTTTTCTTAAATGGTTGGGATCACCGTTTTGCTAAAAATTATTTCCTTGTCAACTAGGTACTGTGATATATTTCTACCTTTGTTTTTGGATGCAAGCAATGACGAAAACCCAAGAGTTAGACAGGTTTGGCTATCTTAGTGGTTGCTTCCAGGTTCTTTATTCTAGTTGCCCACTGTAACATTTAACTTAACACAATCGATAACGTGTCCAGAATGCTCTTTATGGACTTGGGCTTTATGTGGAATATGGTAGTTCTGTTTTCAAACCTGTTGTTACAGGTATAATACCGTTGAATGTGATATTGTGATCCTTCTCATCATGAGAACTGGATGAAAAATGTTACTACATTTTTGTACTTACTACTAATCTCGTGACATGATTCAGAGGCTATTTCAAGAATCAATGTAGTGATAATGCATTTATGTGCTCGTGAACCTGAGAATGAATGCGCATATGATAATGCTGTTTCTGCACTGGGTAAGATATGTCAGTTCCATCGGGAAAGTATCAACTCGGCGCAGGTTTGTCCTTCTTGAAATCCCCTAACATTTATTTGTTTATTCATTCTTAAGCCTACAGGCCATATATGCTTGAGTTGGAATTCTGTTATTTAAGGTGTACATTTAGGTCTTTATTGCAAACTTCCTTGCATGAATCAAATAGTTTGAGAGCTGCAATTTAATCTTTGTCTCATAGCCGCTGATTCAATTCTATAAGTTAAATTGCACTAGAATGGGAATATAGTAGTGTGATGACCTTCTTACTTATTATACATATAGAGATTTAAAAGAGGTTCCAGTAATTCCTGTCTTATTTGTTTACTTATTTCATCCTTTATATTTGAAAAGTGTCTTAGTTAACCCGACAAGAATATTTTTATACTATGCAACTTAATATGATTAATAAGCTAATAATTTATTGATATGCTTGTACTTTCTACACTTTCTAAAAATTAGTTCCACATTGCATAATTGTTGCCATTTCCCTAGTTATTAAGACTTCTCTATTTTCTCTCTCTTTCTGTTGTTCTCTGGACTATTTATGACACTCTTATTGATAACGTGCAGTGTCCTTTTCCTTCCCTTCATGAAAAGGAAAAAAGTATTTATTGCTCTACATGTATACTGAGATTCCTCTGTTTCCTTTAAGTTATACTTGCTAATGGAGATCCCTTTGAGTTTATTTCCTTTTTTACCTACTCCTTTTGTCTCATATTATATGACAGTAATTGGCTTGTCTAGAGTTTAAAATGTTCATTTGACTTATGGTAGTGGAAGAGAATATTACTCCAACTAATCTAGTTTGGTTGATATAACATCGTATGACGTATCAAAATTTAAAATCTTAGTTTTAAATGAATTTGAAATGTACAAATTGTGAAAGTTGTATGGTAAATATTATTAGTCAAATGGCGTCAAACATTTTAAGATGTATTTCAGATAAATTGGGTTGGAGAGAGCATTTGATTTAGCTTTACCATAAGATACTTTACTATGCTCAGAAGTGTTTAGAAAAGAAAGAGAAGAAAATATTCAAAGACACTTTTACATTATCAGTACTTTTTTACATTTTAAATAAGACTGCAAACAATTGCTAAATGCTAACATGGTCGTTGGTGCAATTGTTTGTGCCTTAATACCTTCTGATAAAGAGTCTGTTTCATTGTGCATGCGCTCACATGTTGAAATATGGTAAAGCATATATTCACAGATAAAGTGATGTTCCTCCAATGCACTATTTAATCTTGCTATAATTTCTTCACAATTCTAATTCCAAATCCTTTGGTAGATTGTTCCGGTTTGGTTGAATTGCCTGCCTATAAAGGGTGACCTGGCTGAAGCCAAATATGTTCATGGCGAACTATGTTCGATGGTTGAAAGGTACTGGATTAGTTTGCTCTAGTTTTCATCCTTTTCTGGTCTTCACTTTACTATTTTAAATCTTCATTGTTATCTCTTTTACATATTTATTTTTGTAAAACTAGAAAAGGAAAGATTACAAAATGGCAACATATGATTGGAACAATTTTCTGAAAATATAATTCCAAGTTTTATGCTAACATGTTTCCTGATTTCACATCTTGGGAAATCTAACCCATCACTAGCCAAACAAACTCTTGAAGTATCATTTAGCATTGTAACTAGTTTACAAGTTTGCAACAGTTCAACAACAACAACATTAACTATGCCTCAGTCCCAAACAAGTTGGGGAAGTTTATGACAGTGCAATTGCAACAATTTTTATTTTATATGTTTTAGAAATATTTCATTAGGATGCGCAATTCCAAGTGTGTAGGCTTTCGTGATACGAGATCACCAATTTCCTTCTGATGTATATTAAGTATATGATCTTTGTACAATTATTTTGGTAGTTGTTATTAGGATTTGTTTAGTTTTTCAATTAAAGTTGACGAACTCTGATACGTAAACTCAATTTCAATGACTTCTTCGTCTTCAATGTTTCACCAAATTTTCTCATTTGCAGGTCAGATAGAGAAGTTATTGGTCCCAGCTATCGGTACATTCCAAAAATTATTTCGGTTTTTGCAGAGGTTAGTTTGAAATAAGAACTATTAGATACTAGATTAAGTTGTTCATTCATGACTGACATAAAATTTCCCAAGAAGCTTACATGCATTATAATGTACTGGTAGAGAAGGAGGTAACCCTCACAATAAGAGTGTCTATCTTGCCTAGGCTGTTATGCTATTTTAAATTACTTAGTAATCTCCAATTTAGCTCATTAAAAAACATAAAAAATGCACTAGAAATCTCATGAAACGTTAAAAATTACATTTGTCACTATTTCATGTTTTTGTTCTACTTCTTTTTTTGAAGTACTGATTGACTATCAGTTCTCTAGCAGAAAATATACTGTTAATAACATCTAAAGTAGAGAAGTAAAAAAGAAGTCCAACTAATACTTTTCAAGCATCTAACAGTAAATTACATTCTCGTATTAAATTCCCTTTTGATTTAAATTTCATCTAGATGGTTGACTGATCTGCCGATATGAACGTATCATCATATTGTGGATGTTGCCTAGTAAACCAAAACTTATGTATATATTAACATTCGGTAATTGAATGTTACTTCTTCTACAGGTTCTATGCTCTGAAAAAGATCTCGCTACAGAAGAAACCAAAAATCGCATCATTAATATATTAAGGCAGCTTCAGCAAACTCTACCATCAGCCACCTTTGAATCAGCATTGGCATATCTTTTGCCTAGGCAGGAGATGGAATTGAAATTCATTCTATCACCTGTAGAGGATGCTGACTTTTAATCAGTACAGTGAAACTACTAGTCCGAGGATCAAACATCTGATGCTCAATTTTCATGTAAAAATCAATTATTTGGAGTGAAGTTCTGTATTTGCCTACTTAACGGGGAACACTTGGAAACATGAACGCTAAAGGTGGAAACTTGTGTCTATCTGTGTGTTTGTGTGTATAACAAAGCAAGTCCTTTCCTCAATAAGGAAATAGGTGTAGGTTATAGCTTGTGAGAGTCTGTTACTTGGATAGCTTTGGTTGTACCCTTTTACGATTACATCCCATGTTTTCGTACGTGAAATTATGCCATAAGTAAATTAATGAAAGCTCGGAAATGAGATGTTACATCCCGCATTTTTGTACGTTAAAGTTTCGTCGTAAGTTAATCGACGTAAGCTTGGGAACGAGATTATTTTTGAGGTTATAAGTATTATGTTATTTCAAACAAGAGATAAATAAATTCGTGAAGGTAAGAGGGTAAGCAAATCAAAGAAAATGAGCTTCGAAGTTTGACATTTTGAGATAAAATAAGGTTCAGGTTATAATACCTCGTATTTCTAGACTAGTGGCATACAAGGTACCACATGACCATATGACCATGATAGTAAGGTGTATAAGGTGTGTTAAAAGTAAGTAGTATTTTAAGTAATTTGAGATAATTCTTAATTATGTAGGTAATTGGTTAATTATTAGATTAGTGGGGGATTAATAAGTTGATTAAGGAAAGGGGTGAATTTTTGGATAAGTTTAACCCCCCTCACCCAACCCCCCAAACGTGGCAACCCAAAGAGGCCTTGATAATGAGTCTTAACTCACAAAACAAGGTGACACATTTTGGAGGAGCTCTTGGCTAAGTCATCACCTAGTGGGGCCTACACCCACTAAGGTAAAAGGCTCTCGAATTCACAAAGATATGGAATGGCAACGTTCAGCTTCAACAAAAGCCATGAAGACTTCTCAAATTCAACAAAAGTCATATGAGATTATGATAAAATTCAAAAAAGAGAGATACATCTATCTTCATAGCAACGTAAATAGCTTCAGCAAGAGATTCATACGAGACTTCTTAGCATAATAGCAACAAGATTTTGCGATTCTAAGGGAGTACAGTGCAATCTTTCTCAAGAATATCATATGAATTCTCCCCTACTCCGATCCGCCGTTACGTATTTTGTCGCAATTGACGTATGTTAGAGGAATTGTCAAGAGAATCGGCTCAGGTATGTTAAGACTATCCCTTCTTTCTTTTTGGCATGATCTATACGATACAAACGAAACGAGCAAATGCACAACTTCCATAAATGACTCTATTCATAGAAATACTAGAGACGCCTATGTTCTTGATTCCCCATATGTCCTATTATTCTATCATATGTTCATGGTTCTCAGAAAATACGTAAGTTGATAAAGTTTACTTCATGACATTAATCAAAGGCATAATGGTCTTATGACGTTCTGAGTGATTTTATTGACGTACTTCTTATGTATTGCATTCATTTATACATGTACATTGATCCATGACCAGATGGCGTTATATACACGTATATATATGTATATATATGTATATGTGATATGGGAAAAGGTTACGGCGTTATATACGCACTACCACCTGATCAGCTGGTATACGTTGATGATTTTGCCCACAGTGGCCAAGATGATATGATGGGATGCCCTCAGAGGCCTGATGATGTTACGAACGCATATACCTATGCATGGTATGACATTTATACGCATATGCATGACATTATAAATATTAATGATTCGTAGAGTTATTCAGACTTACATGTTGAGTCTTTTACTCCATGTTACTCTCATGTCTATTGTGTACTGATTTTCATTCCTTACATACTCGGTACATTATTTGTACTGACGCCCCTTTTTCCTGGGGACGCTGCGTTTTATGCCCGTAGGTCTCGATAAATAGGATGAGAGTCCTCCAAGTAGGCTATCAGCTCAGCGGAAGGTGTTGGTGCGCTCCAATTGCTCCGGAGTTGCTTATTTGGTCAGTATGATTAGGACATGTATTGATTAGTATGGTGGGGTCCTGTCCCGATCTTTATGACATTTATGTACTCTTAGAGGCTTGTAGACATATGTCGTGTATGTGAAATATTGTATGACCTTGTCGGCCTAAGTTCAGTGTACGAGTGATCATTTTGGTCTTATAGGCCAGTATGTCATATGTATAAGTTTGTATTCCCTCATGCTTTACTTCGGTTCATTTACCTATGATATAATGATACAAAAGATATGTTACGTTGGTACTCGGTTGACTAAGGTACCGGGTGCCCGTCGCGGCCCATCGGTTTGGGTCGTGACATTCACCACTGCCCTGGAATCTTCTCTTTTGTCAAAGGGATTGTTTTTATCAATAGTTTATATATAACTAAAAAAATTATTTTTGTCCTATTTATACAGTATAATTTTCCGAGCAAGGAACTTAATTGAACCCTTTGCTATGCATAGCTCCGCCCCTGATTGGTTTCATCTAATGCCACTTGCATATTAAAGATTATAGGTTAAGACCCTAGCTACGACCTTACTTGAATAGGATCTGTTCTATAGACTCGTACCACTATATCCTTGAGTTCTAAGGAGACAGGGAACCAAGTTTGGTGGATGAATTATGCCCATTAGATTAGAGCGTGATTAACAACCCCCACAGCCCTCGGGTCATGGTGCCGTAGATGATCGTTCTCAGCTCCAACTATGGTGCCTGTGATGGTCTAATGGTTGTCTGACAGACTCTTTAATCTAAAAAAGGTTAAGACCCTAGCTTGGGTACCTTTTATAATTTTGTAAGGAGTTGACCTTAATATACATAATATTGGAGGAGGTATCTCTTTCCATGTCATTGATTTCCGCGAAAAATGTTCTGTAGTGTCCTTGATCTTACTTCACTGCCCTAATGTCACTATCCTCTGGTTTAAACTGGGACTTAGTTATTCCATATAATTTCCTATTTAGTTTAAACATTTCACCAGTCTTATGGCTCAAATCACTTATCATCAACCCAAACACACAACCATATTTCAATCCTTTCTGTCTATGAAATAAATATTAGCTTAACCATAATAATATTTCCATGGACAAACCAACCCTGTTAACACAGATAATATTGTTTTTAAAGCTGCCGAATATCAATGTATGTTAAATGGATTTTTTCCCAAAATGTGCAATTTGGCTACAAAATTTTATTAGTGCGTAAATTTTGTAAAAAAACCAAAAATATGCAAAATGTATATGTGAAATTCGATTTACATGCATTTTAAGTTAACTGAGGTAATAGACAGTCAAGAAGATGACGTTAGATTAAATCGCATTTTAGAAATGCAACTAATAATTCGTATTTCTTAAATGCAATTTATAATTCGCATTTATAAATCAAACTTATAAGTGCCCATTCCAATAAGGATTTAACTTACTTTTTAAAAATTTTAATATACTTTTTTTTTAAAATATATTTTGTGTTATTATGTTATTTTATTAATTTATAAATTAAAATATTTAAATATCTATGGGGCTTACACACCATGTCTTAGGGCTTATATACGCCTTGCCTCGTATTAAATAAAATGCAACGCCTTATAAAAGTATGATACTAAGTGAAAATAATGAATGAGTGAGCATATTATTCATCGAGTTTAACTAATAATATATATTTATAGTGTGAAAAATCTTTACACTTATAGTATATATTAACTTCTTGTATCAAGTAGCAAGCTTATTTTTCAGATTAGTATTCTCACCTTTTGTGATGTAATGTAATCTATATCTACACTATATTAAAAACACGAAGCCCTTAGCGAAATATCGTTCATCTTTTTATCCTTTAAAATTAGATTTTACATTGAATAAAGTTATAATTTAAGTTAATTTTATAGTACTTAGGACTTTTTAATCAACTAAATTTTGGTTATTAAATCTTTTTTATTTAACTAGCGGTAAGAATTACTAATATTTAGGAGTTTAAAATCTACTATAATGTCCAAATTTTTCGTTTAAGCATGCATTTTGAGCTTCTTCTTTTCCATGTACAAACTAGGCTGCATATAGATAATTCACCACTAAGCTTTTCTAGTGTAATGACTCGATCGGTCGTTTTGAGCTCTAGCGTGTTGTTCGACGGTTTGATGCCATGAGTAGCTTCACTTCAGGTATTATGACTTGTGCGCATGGTCGGAATTGAATTTCGAGAAGTTCGGAGTTGATTTGGAAAGAAAATTCTCAGTTCAGAAGCTTTAAGTTAGAGGAATTGACTACGGTTTGATTTTTGAGTAAACGATCCTGGAATCGGGTTTTGAAGGTTCCAACAGGTACGTATGATGATTTTGGACTTGGGCGCATGTCCGGATCGAGTTTTAGATGACCCTGGAGCGTTTCAGCGCCTATTATGGAATTTGGCATTTTGGAAAAATTTCATAAATTTGATTGAAGTGCATTTCAATGTTATCGATGTCTGTTTGGCATTCCGAGTCTAGGAATAGCTCTGTATAGTGATTGTGGTATTGGGAGCACGTCCGGATATGGATTTGGAGGGCCGTGGGTCATTTTGGGGTCATTTGGCGAAAGTTGGAAATTTGAAGTTTTTTGGGAAGTTTGACCGGGAGTGAACTTTTTGATATCGAGGTCGAATTCTGATTCTAGAAGTTTGAGTATATCCGTAATGTCAAACGTGACTTGTGTGCAAAATTTGAGGTCAATCTGACGTGATTTGATAGGTTTCGGCATCGAATGTAGAAGTTTGAAGTTCTAAAGTTCATTAAGCTTGAATTGGGGTGCGATTCATGATTTTGGAGTTGTTTGATGTTATTTGAGGCCTTGAGCAGGTCCATGTTATGTTATGGGACTGGTTTGTGAGATTTGGACGGGGTCCCGGGGTCCTTGGGTGTGCTTCGGGGTGGTTTCAGATCGATTTGAGCTGTTTTGGAACTGCTGTTGCTGGTATCTGGTTTCCTTCTTCACGAACGCGAAGAGAGTCCCGCGTTCGCGAAGAGGAATTTTGAGGCTGCTGGGTTTTAGCCTTCGTAAATGCGAGGTAGAGGTCGCAAACGCTAAGGGATTGCCTAAGGAACCTACGCGAACGCGAAGGGTCAATCGCGAACGCGTAGAAGGAAATGGGGAAGCTGGGCCTAGAGCCATTTAGCCTTTGCGAGTGTGGAGCTCCAACCGCGAACACGAAGCAGTGGAGTCTGGAGCCTTGGCGAACGCGAAGAAGGGCGGACCTGGGCTGGGCAAATTTTTAAAAGCGGGGTTTGGGTTCATTTCATCCATTTTTCACACGGCTTGGGCGATTTTTGGAGCTTTTGAAGAGGAGATTTCATCATCAAGCATGAGGTAAGTGA